GTGTTATCTTCCTGTGGGCATGACATCTCACTAGGAACAGGAGGATGAATAAGGCCCACCTGCAGTGGATGGGGGGACAGGCATGCAAACGCAGTGGTTTGCCTTAGAGCCAGTGCCAGGCAATTGTTCTCACACTCGCTTTCTTCCTTTAAGCTTGATAAAAAACCCCGCGGAGAGAGCAGATCTGAAGCAACTCATGGTAAGTCACGTCTTTCGGTCTGCACAGTACCCACTTACGTTCTGCTCCCCGGCAGTCATCCACCCGCACGTCCTGAGTCCATCCCTGCCCGCTCTGACCACTGCGGTCCAGCGGAGCCCAGGGCTGCAGAGTACCCAACACCAGCCCCTCCTCCCTCCCATCAGTTTAAAGGAAAGGCTGGGACAGTCCCACAGCCTGAGTGAGTGTGCGGGACGGAGGGCCTGAGGGAATCGGGGAAAGGGCTGCCTGTCCCTGCGTGGACACTGGGCCTTTTTCTGTTGTTTAGATTTTTGAGAGAGGGGGAAAGTGAGAAATCACCCTCAGAGGGTTTGACCATGCCACAATCCCATATCCACCACTCTCCTCTTGAGACTTGGGCATGCGGGCACACATACCTGGCATGATTTTCAAGCCACTGGGTCCAGGACTTGAACGACACAGTCTGCCATGTGGGATCTAGTACTCTACCCTCCATGCCACCTGCTGGCCTTTTTCTAATATCGACTGGCTTTTCTTACATTCAGCATGGACAGGCTGCAGTGTGATGTGCAACTCAGTCCATTTCTTTGGTCCTTCCTAAGAAGCCTGGGAGGCATCAGAGCAGGTCACTCTCATTTCAGACCAAGCAAGAACAAGCTCTGAGAGGGCAGTGACTTGCCTGAGCCTGGCAGCTGGCGTTACTGGTGGAGCCAGGCAGAGCACATCCGGGCCTTACTTTCCTGGTCTCACAGCTGCTTAGGGAGGTGGCGGGATCTCCTTCCACGTACAAGTTCTACATCTAGACTCTTGGATTTTGCTTCCTTGGTGGTTTTATTTTTTAAAAGAATGATTTCTTTAAATAACTATTTAATTCTATTCTTTTTTTTTTTTTTTTTTTGCTATAGTGCGCATGCACTTGCCAGAAAGACAGAGAGAGACAGAGAGACAGAAAATGAGAAATCACCCCCCAGGGGTGATGGCCACACTGCAACCCCTTCTCCATTCTCCTCTCCTGATCTTGGGCGAGCATGCATGCACATGCGCCCGGTGTGACTGGGTCTGGGACTTGAACCGTGGTTGACTACATGGGAGGCCAGTGACGTAGCCATTATGCCATCTGTTGGTCCCCATTCATTTATTTTTAACTTGACCAGAGAGAGAGAGAGTGAGCGAGAGAGCGGGAAAGTGAGAAAACAAGCTGCCAGGTCCAGAACTTGAACCCTGCAGTTGGCCATGTGGGAGTCCAGCATCTTAACCAACATGCCACCTACCAGCCCCCTTCCCAGTGTTTTATTATTTTTTTTTAGAGATTTTTGCACTACAGGGCATGTGTCCTCGCTAGACAGAGACAGAAAGCAAGAAATCACCCCCCTAGAGGGGATGGCCACACCACAGTCCCTTCTCGCCTATTGTATTCTTGGGATTTGGGGCATGCATGCACACGTACCTGGCATGAGTTTTAAGCTGCGAGGTCCAGGACTCGAACTGTGGCTGATTACATGGGAGTCCAGCAACGTAACCATCATGCCACCTGCTGGTCCCCCTGGTGGGTTTTTTTTTTTTTTTGAGAGGTTTTTGCTATAGGGCGTGTGCGCTCGCCACACAGAGAGAGACAGAGATAGAAAGCGAGAAATCACCCCCCAGGGGGGATGGCCACGCCGCAAGCCCTTCTCCTCCATTCTCCTCTCGGGATCTTGGGCACGCACACACATGCGCCCAGCGTGCGTTTTAAGCCACCAGGTCCGGGATGCGAACCGCGGTCAACTATGTGGGAGTCCAGCGACATAGCCATTACGCTAACTGCTGGTTCCCCCCCTGGTGGTTTTTTAACACTACTTCCCCTCTCCATTTCCTTACACACAGGTTCATGCTTTTATCAAGAGATCTGACGCTGAAGAAGTGGATTTTGCAGGTTGGCTCTGCTCCACCATCGGCCTTAACCAGCCCAGCACACCGACTCATGTGGCTGGGGTCTGAGCACCTGGGAGCAGCAGAGAGCGAGCCCCTACCCAGTGGCCTGTGTGTCGCTTCTGGTCCTCTTTCCCATGCTTGTCTCTGTGCAGACCTGCAGCTCACCTGTGACAAGGATGAAGAGCACAGCATGTGCCAAAATGCTCGTGTGTCCTTTTACTATCACTGTCTTCTTCCTCCCGCAGTCCCCTCAGTGGACTGGCTTTGTGCTTGGGCTAACTGTGTGTACGTAGGTGATCACAACACGTGCCAGGCTGAATTACAGTGAAACTCCGGTGACCGTGCCTCGCCTCCTTCCTGCAGCTGCACCGCCGTTCCCGCCCTGTGACTGGCCGGCTGCCTGTGTTTTCGGGACTCTTTGACACTCGGTGGTACTTCATTCTTGCCGGGCAGACCTTCTCTCTGAGGAGAGCCTTGCGAGACCCTCCATGGGCAGTGCATGTGAAGCATGCTTTGCTGCTATGAAAATGAGCATCAGAATGTGTGCACCGTGATCTTTTGTTTTGCTTTTGATGTAGAATTCAGCATTTTCCACCAGAATCTAGCCAGAGCCCGCCACTGCCATGATAGCCAGGGCTGTACCAGTCTGTCTGCTGTGGTGACCTGCAGACTTCTGGTTGTATTGCTGTATTTATTTTTCAGTACACTGTGTGGGATCTGAGTGGGTTATGTCTCTTTTAAGTTTGGAGTAGTGTTTCTAACATGGGGGAGTTATTCTGAATGTTACAAATGGATCAAGGCATTAAAATGTGTTGAATTTATCTTTCCTCAAATCCAAGTACCAATGTTCTTGTAAACGTGTATAGTGCCTAAAAACTGTATGAATATCCTTTTAACCATTTTAATCCAGATGTTTAACAGATCTTATTCTAATAAATATATATCAAGTTAAAAAAAGAAAAGGGACGAGAGAGATGGCTACTTTCGTGGTGAGGACCACAACTGCCCTAGGGCCTAAGAAGCAGACTTTCACCCAGCATTGTTACAGAGAACGGTGGACAGGAGGAGGCTGGAAGGCAGAAGGACCACACCAGGCTCAGTGCTCTGGGCTAAGTGGCTTTCTGCAGTGTCGATCCTTGGGCTTTGCCCAGCTCTGACCCTCCCCTGATGCTTCCAGCCACCTTCCTGGGGACCTGTAAGCAGATCCTGCTGCTTCCATCTCTGTACAAGGGCAGAGGAGCAGGTGAGGACTTGGAGTAAATCTGAGAAAAACCACAGAACATTTCTCATTGCACTTTTTTTTTTTAAGTAGAGGATTTCAAATGTATCTATACTATTTTAAAAACTTTGTTCATTTTATTCATTTATTTTAACTTGACCAGAGAGGGACAGAGAGAGAGAGAGGAGAAAGTGAAAAAGTCTGGGACTTGAACTGCTGTCGGTCACGTGAGAGTCCAGCGCCCTTAATCATGTTATCTGCTGGACCCACGTTCTTCACTTTTCCTAACAGAGCTGAGCTTGGGGCCTGCCTGGTGGTGCAGCCACTGCCCAGCATGGCTGGCCACGTGCTGCTCTGCTGCACTGAACACTGCTTCCCTTCTCCCACCACCTGTGCTTAGCCATGCCTTCCTGGAGAGGAGGTGCCTTTCCATGCTGGCTTTCGTCATGCCTGCAAGGTGGCAGCAAACTCACTGCGACTTCTCCTTGGTGCCCTTCTACAAAAAGCTGGTGTTTGGAATTTTGGGTACCTGTGAGACCACGTGGGCAGGACTGCTTCCATTTTCTTCCTTCAAGGGACAGATCATACAAAAGTCAATCATGTATTTAAAAGTAAAAGATCAATTTCATTTTTCAATTAAAAAGAGGATTTAGGGGCTGGCAGGTGGTGTGGTGGTTAAGGGCACTGGACTCCCACGTGGCCAACTGCGGTTCGAATCCCGGACCTGGTGGCTTTTCTCTTT